TAGTGTAGTATATAGTGTAGTATATAGTAGTGTAGTATGTAGCAGTGTAGTGTATAGTGTAGTATATTGTAGCGTAGTATATAGTGTAGTATATAGTGTAGTATATAGTAGTGTAGTATGTAGCAGTGTAGTATATAGTGTAGTATATAGTAGTGTAGTATGTAGCAGTGTAGTATATAGTGTAGTATATAGTAGTGTAGTATATAATGTAGTATATAGTAGCGTAGTATGTAATAGTGTAGTATAGAGTGTAGTATATAGAAGCGTAGTATGTAGTAGTGTAGTGTATAGTGTAGTATATAGTAGCGTAGTATGTAGTAGTGTAGTGTATAGTGTAGTATATAGTAGTGTAGTATATAGTGTAGTATATTGTAGCGTAGTATATAGCAGTGTAGTCTATAGTGTAGTATATAGCAGTGTAGTATATAGTGTAGTATATAGTAGTGTAGTATATAGTGTAGTATATAGTATCGTAGTATGTAGCAGTGTAGTCTATAGTGTAGTATATAGCAGTGTAGTATATAGTGTAGTATATAGTAGCGTAGTATGTAGTAGTGTAGTGTATAGTAGTGTACTATATAGTGTATAGTAGTGTAGTATATAGTAGTGTAGTGTATAGTGTAGTATACAGTAGTGTAGTATGTAGTAGTGTATAGTATATAGTAGTGTAGTATGTAGTAGTGTAGTGTATAGTATATAGTAGTTTAGTAAGTAGTATATAGTAGTGTAGTATGTCGTAGTGTAGTGTACAGTATATAGTAGTGTAGTATGTAATAGTGTAGTGTATAGTGTAGTATATAGTAGTGAAGTATATAGTAGTGTAGTATGTAGCAGTGTAGTATATAGTGTAGTATATAGTGTAGTATATAGTAGCGTAGTATGTAGCAGTGTAGTCTATAGTGTAGTATATAGCAGTGTAGTATATAGTGTAGTATATAGTAGCGTAGTATGTAGTAGTGTAGTGTATAGTAGTGTACTATATAGTGTAGTGTATAGCAGTGTAGTATATAGTAGTTTAGTGTATAGTTCAGTATATAGTAGTGTAGTATGTATAAGTGTAGTGTATAGTATGTAGTCGTATTGTATATAGTAGTGCAGTGTATAGTGTAGTATACAGTAGTGTAGTATGTAGTAGTGTATAGTATATAGTGGTGTAGTATGTAGTAGTGTAGTATGTAGTAGTGTAGTGTATAGTGTAGTATATAGTAGTGTAGTGTATAGTGTAGTATATAGTAGTGTAGTATGTATAAGTGTAGTGTATAGTATATAGTCGTGTAGTATATAGTAGTGTAGTGTATAGTGTAGTATATAGTAGTGTAGTATGTAGTAGTGTATGTAGTCCACATGCCCAGCCACCGCATGCCGAAACAGCTTTTGTTCGGCCGGATCGAGGGGGCTAAGCGGGCGCGGCACGGGCTAGAGAAGAGATGGAGTGATGTGGTACAGGAGGACGTGGAGCTGAGTGGACTTGCCGATGACTGGTACCAGCGGTGTCAAGATCGGCCTCTGTGGAGGAGGCTCGTGAAGGATGCTACGGGGCAGTTGGAGGCAGTCGCCCTCCAACAACAACGGAGGGCGGAGGAGCGACGCTCACAACAGCGAGCGGAGCGCCGGGTGGCTAAAGCACAGCAGGTTGGCACAGTAGGGGGCATAGGTGGTGCATCAGCCAGTCATTTCAGTCAGTCGACCCGTGGCACCTGGGTCTGCCCCGTGACCTCCTGCCAGCGGGCGTTCGACACTTCACGTGGCCTCAAGGTGCACATAGCCTGGCACAAGCGTCGTGGTGACGTCACCGCCACTTAGTGGCGAATGGCGGTTGTTGTTGTTGTTATATAAGATCCTGGACCTTTAACTCCGCCCCTAACCCCGCCCCTAACTGGGCCGCAGACTTAAACCGGCACGGAAGCGAGCGGCTCGCCATCGCTGAGTTCGTGAATTCGTGAGTTCGTGAGTGAGTTAGTTAGTTCGTGAGTTCGGGAGTGAGTTAGTTAGTTCGTGAGTTCGGGAGTGAGTGAATTCGTGAGTTCGTGAGTGAGTTCGTGAGTGAGTTTTGAGTGAGTTAGTTAGTGAGTTCGTGAGTGAGTGAATTCGTGAGTGAGTGAGTTCGTGAGTGAGTTAGTTCGTGAGTTCGGGAGTGAGATAGTGAGTGAGTGAGTCCGTGAGTGAGTCCGTGAGTGAGTGAGTTCGTGAGTGAGTTCGTGAGTGAGTTCGTGAGTGAGTTCGTGAGATAGTGAATTCGTGAGTGAGTTCGTGAGTGAGTTCGGGAGATAGTGAGTTCGTGAGTGAGTTCGTGAGTTCGTGAATTCGTGAGTGAGTTCGTGAGTGAGTTCGAGCGACTCGCCATCGCTGAGTTCGTGAGTGAGTTCGGTGGCGGTGGTGCCAGGGCAGTTGTGGTGCTCGCACAAGTTCGACACCGGTTCAAGGCGCTGTTGTTGTTACTACAACCACTAAACTGTTACATTGTGTGTGTGTCAGTGTGTGTCGGTGTGTGTGTGTCTCTGTGTGTAAACTGGTCTACTCGGCCTTAAATGTGTACCTTGGTGTGGCGATGTGTGGAGTCAAACATCGCCACTCGGTGGGGGGGGGGTGGGAGTAGGAGAGACAAAGGCGGCCGGGCGTGGTAGCTCTCCCACCCGCCCCCTCGTGTGCCACAAGAGCCTCCGGCCTTCACAGACGCTGCCGCTCCTCGCCCCAACATGCTAGGGGAGATTGTTTGTCAACATCCACTGCTGGATGGTAACGGTGGGCCGACAGTGCCCCCAAACCGGCGGTTGATCGGTGTGACCATACTTCACCACGCTGGTCACACCGATGGCGTCAATGTGTAGTAGGTGTGGTGTGTGTGTATATACAGGGTTACAGTGCCGTATTGTATGTAGAGTGTGTGTGTATACAGGGTTACAGTGCCGTATTGTATGTACAGTGTGTGTGTTTACAGGGTTACAGTGCCGTATTGTATGTACAGTGTGTGTGTATACAGGGTTACAGTGCCGTATTGTATGTACATTGTGTGTATATAGGGTTACAGTGCCGTATTGTATGTACAGTGTGTGTATACAGGGTTACAGTGCCGTATTGTATGTACAGTGTGTGTGTACAGGGTTACAGTGCCGTATTGTATGTACAGTGTGTGTATACAGGGTTACAGTGCCGTATTGTATGTACAGTGTGTGTATACAAGGTTAGTTACAGTTATGTTGTATGTACAGTGTGTATGCAGGGTTCATTACAGTTATGTTGTATGTACAGTGTGTGTATACAGGGTTAGTTATAGTTCTGTGTTGTATATACAGTGTGTATACAGGGTTAGTTACAGCTCTGTTGTATGTACAGTATGTGTATACAGGGTTAGTTACAGCTGTGTTGTATATACAGTGTGTATACAGGGTTAGTTACAGCTCTGTATGTACAGTGTGTGTATACAAGGTTACAGTTCTGTTGTATGTACAGTGTGTGTATACAGGGTTAGTTACAGCTCTGTGTTGTATATACAGTGTGTGTATACAGGGTTAGTTACAGCTCTACGTACAGTGTGTGTATACAGGGTTAGTTACAGCTCTGTGTTGTATGTACAGTGTGTGTATACAGGGTTAGTTACAGTTCTGTTGTATGTACAGTGTATGTATACAGGGTTAGTTACAGCTCTGTGTTGTATATACAGTGTGTGTATACAGGGTTAGTTACAGCTCTATGTACAGTGTGTGTATACAGGGTTAGTTACAGCTCTGTGTTGTATGTACAGTGTGTATACAGGGTTAGTTACAGCTCTGTTGTATGTACAGTATGTGTATACAGGGTTAGTTACAGCTGTGTTGTATATACAGTGTGTATACAGGGTTAGTTACAGCTCTGTGTATGTATGTACAGTGTGTGTATACAGGGTTAGTTACAGCTCTGTATGTACAGTGTGTGTATACAAGGTTACAGTTCTGTTGTATGTACAGTGTGTGTATACAGGGTTAGTTACAGCTCTGTGTTGTATATACAGTGTGTGTATACAGGGTTAGTTACAGCTCTACGTACAGTGTGTGTATACAGGGTTAGTTACAGCTCTGTGTTGTATGTACAGTGTGTGTATACAGGGTTAGTTACAGTTCTGTTGTATGTACAGTGTATGTATACAGGGTTAGTTACAGCTCTGTGTTGTATATACAGTGTGTGTATACAGGGTTAGTTACAGCTCTATGTACAGTGTGTATACAGGGTTAGTTACAGCTCTGTGTTGTATGTACAGTGTGTGTATACAGGGTTAGTTACAGCTCTGTTGTATATACAGTGTGTGTATACAGGGTTAGTTACAGCTCTGTGTTGTATATACAGTGTGTGTATACATGGTTAGTTACAGCTCTATGTATGTACAGTGTGTGTATGCAGGGTTAGTTACAGCTCTGTGTATGTATGTACAGTGTGTGTATACAGGGTTAGTTACAGCTCTGTGTGTGTACAGTGTGTGTATACAGGGTTAGTTACAGCTCTGTGTTGTATGTACAGTGTGTGTATATAGGGTTGGTTACAGCTCTGTGTTGTATATACAGTGTGTATACAGGGTTGGTTACAGCTCTGTGTTGTATGTACAGTGTGTGTATACAGGGTTAGTTACAGCCCTGTGTTGTATATACAGTGTGTGTGCATACAGGGTTGGTTACAGTTCTGTGTTGTATATACAGTGTGTATACAGGGTTGGTTACAGCTCTGTGTTGTATATACAGTGTGTATACATGGTTAGTTACAGCTCTGTGTTGTATATACAGTGTGTATACAGGGTTGGTTACAGTTCTGTGTTGTATATACAGTGTGTGTATACAGGGTTAGTTACAGCTCTGTGTTGTATATGCAGGGTTGGTTACAGCTCTGTGTTGTATATACAGTGTGTGTATACAGGGTTAGTTACAGCTCTGTGTTGTATATACAGTGTGTATACAGGGTTAGTTACAGCTCAGTGTTGTCTATACGGTGTGTGTATACAGGGTTGGTTGCAGTTCTGTTGTATGTACAGTGTGTGTATACAGAGTTAGTTACAGCTCTGTGTATGTATCGTGTGTGTACAATATTAGTTGGAGAATCATGTGTTGAATGTACAGTTTGTGTGTATACAGGGTTAGTTCCAGTGCTGTGTTGAATGTACAGTTTGTGTGTATACAGCGTTAGTTGCAGTGCTGTGTTGTATGTACAGTGTGTGCATAGCTCCGGTGGCCTCTGAATATCGCAAGGAAGAGCGTTCCAGACGGCCGCAGAAGGCGCGCGATGCAGTTACCGTCATTGATAAACACTCGTTACTTAGCTGTAATAATCTTACTCCTGCTGTTTGTGTTTAATTCTCCTTTCCCTGTACCTCTGAAAGAAGTTAAACATACAGACCTAATATAAGAAACCCAAAGCAGGACTCTCCTGAAAAATGATCATTGGACTCGCTTGTGCGTAAGTGATACAAGATTATTACGAGCAACTTTTGCGCCCATGGCGCGCGCACCACGGCAAGAAGAGAGAGAGAGGAAAATGGGAAATGCCTTTCCCGTACTGCCGCAACGCCGTTTTCACGACGCTTTTTGGACAAAGCGCGATGAGCGAATGGGGGAAAGGCATCTGTTGTTCGAACGGGGAAGGCATCTTTTGTTCGAACGCGGAACGCGAATTGGACGCAACGCGATTCGAGCGAGCGGACACTACGTCGCGCGAGCAGGAACAAGCAGTCGTACGGCTGACCCCCTGGGGTTGGCGTCCATCGCACAGGGCATTGGGATGCTGCTGGATGCTTCCGGATGCCACCCACGCTCGCCTCGGTCTTCGTCACGGAATCTCGTACGCACCGTCGCGCGTTATCGCCCACCGTTTGCCATTGCCCTACATTGTATACTTTTTTTATTTAAAGCTTTCGTGACTGCAGGGATTCATATTCTTGGTTCTTTCGTTAAAGTCACGTAGAAGGGAAACAAAATAATAAAAACAATAAAATTATCACGACGTTTCGACTGCAACACAAGCAATCATCATCAGGTGTGCAAACCACAGTGGTTTTCACATCTGATGATGGTTTTCACACCTGATGACGATTGCTTGTTGCAGTCGAAACGTGATAATTTTATTGTTCTATATTTTTATTGTTTCCCTTCTACGTGGCTTTACCGGAAGAACCAAGAATATTGTATACATTGCTCATTCGAGCGCGATATTTCCTCCGCGTGCCGTTCCTCGGGAACGCAGCTACTAGCGCCGCGTTGCAGGAGGACGGTACCCTAGGAGGGGAAAAGGATGGCGAAGGAACGGAGGGACGGGATGAAGGGGGTCAGGAGAGATGGGGATGGGGAGGCGGACGAGGCTGTATGAGGGCCTCTCACTGCTGCTCTTGCTGCTGCTGCGAGGAGGAGGAGGAGCGGCGTCGGTTTTCGCAGTGGGCGGGGAGAGGGGATTCAGAGTGGAGGGTGGCCACACCTGGTAGTCACTTGGTTTACGGGAGGATTGAGCCGGTTTAGAGTGAGAGATGGAGACATACAGATGAGAGGGGTAGGGATTAAGAGTGTTGGGAGGCGCACAGTAGCCATGTGGTTTACGAGAGGCCTGAGCTGGTTTTAGATACGTCCATGATTGTTGTAAAGGCTACACGGTGAAGGGTGGCGGGGCTGGGCTGTGTGTGGTGGCTGGGTGGAACCCGTGCTGTGGTGATGCGGCGATGATGTGACGATGACGATGCGGCGATGACACCTGATGATGGGGCGATGATGCCGTGATGGTGCGGCGATGACGCGGCGATGACGCGGCAGTGCTGGCGACGCCGTGCTGACGTCGCGGCGATGATGATGCCGCGTGCCGCAGGAACCACACCATGGTGTCGGCTGCGTGGGTGCCTCCCGTGTGCGCCACCCTCCTGCCGCACGTCGGCGGCATTGTGGGCGGCCTGCTCACGCAGAGCGAGATCAAGGGCTGGTACGAGGGCCTCAAGAAGCCCGCTTGGCGGCCACCCAACCGGGCCTTCCCCGTGGTGTGGCCGCTGCTGTACACTGGCATGGGGTGAGTCGTTAGTAAGGCCCCACTGAGCTACGTCGTAGCTTTTATTTTTATTTTTCAGAAGCACACCTTGGCCGTCGTAAGTGTTAGCTCAGCGGTACTTGCAGCGAGCATGCAAACGCAGCACGTGGCTCTGATAAGAGTGTTACGTAATGACTTTGAAACTGATTGGTCTACACCAGAGAGAGTCGCGGCCTTCATGGGCTTGTCTCACCGCCAACGTCAGACCAGAGGACAACGCCAAAAGGCAAAAAGTGCACGCTTGGGTACTGCCAAAAGGTATCCCATGTTCTTTGGTTCTTTCGGTAAAGTCACGTAGAATGAGAATAAAATAATAGATTAAAAAAATAAAATAACACAAATTCTCACGACGTTTCGGCCACAACACAAGTGGCCTTCAGGTGAAAGGAACAGACCTGTCGGGACAACAGAGCTTCAATGAACGTTGTTAAGATTCGTAGCGTCTTTTTAAGCTGGTTTAGAGAAGTGAGGCACCTTGACAAAGGGGTTTACATATCAAACAGGAGAATTTAGCATTGAAATAGCTCCTGTTTGATATGTAAACCCCTTTGTCAAGGTGCCTCACTTCTCTAAACCAGCTTAAAAAGACGCTACGAATCTTAACAACGTTCATTGAAGCTCTGTCATCCCGACAGGTCTGTTCCTTTCACCTGAAGAAGGCCACTTGTGTTGTGGCCGAAAGCGTCGTGAGAATTTTATTGTGTTATTTTATTAATTTATTATTTTATTCTCATTCTACGTGACTTTACCGAAAGAACCAAAGAAGATGAATCCCTGCAGTCACGAAAGCTTTAAATCGAAAGGTATCCCATGATGTAGCTGCTGCTCACCCACCCCCCGAGCTGTAAATGCTCTGGCACGTGCATTGTCATTGCGCTGTTCGCCTTGTGGCGTTGTCCTCTGGTCTGACGCTGGTGGTGAGACTAGGCCATGAAGAAGGGCCGCTACCCTCTCTGGTGTAGGCCAAATCTGTTTCAAAGACGATGCGTAACATTGTTATCGGAGCCACGTGTTGTGTTTGCATGTTCACCGCAAGTACCGTGCGTGGTCAACGCAAGATGTATCCATTACGGTGTATGAACATCTTGACACGCCATCCGTTTAATTGCCACGAAGGCTCAAACCCTCTTCTTATCGTTCACACTTTGACAACTGGCAAAGTATGAAAAATTAATGGTTTACTGCTGCAAGAGGTCCCGTGACCTGTTGCATTGCCAGAAAGGGGCTGAGCCCGTTCTTATTTCCTTTCAAACTCGCAACTGCCGGGTCACACTGCAGGGTCACACGGCGGCACCTGCGTCTTTGCTTCTGCGTGCGGGGCAGGTACGCGTCATACCTGGTGTGGCGTGACGTTGGGGGCTTCACCGACGATGCCGTGACGCCGCTGGGCCTCTACGGGGCTCAGCTGGCCCTCAACTGGATGTGGACCCCGATTTTCTTCAAGGCTCATCGCATGGGCTTGGTATGCAATCGCCTGTATACAACACCTCTATGTACAACACAACATGCACGCTTGTACACATATACACACCTCTATACACACATATATATACAACACAACATGCATGCGACACACCTCTATACACCTCTATATACAACGCAACATGCATACGAGATTCATGGTTATCAACGAGATTCGTTGGTTCTCAACGAGTTCTAAAAGACAACGCTTCTTAAAGTCCGGCAAATGAACAGATGCACCGGTCTTCACTGAGATGCCATTTATGCCTCATTATTGTGTAATAGCCGACACCCCCTACTGGGCGAGTGGCTTAAAGACCTTTAACCCGGAACTTCCTGGTCACGTGACCAAACTGAGCACCCTCATATCAGGACGTTCCTGTATAAACACTCCCCCCCCATATCTGCCATGGGACAGAACATCTGTGTAAAAAGAGCTTTGTTGCTCATCGGATTCCTCCAGTTAAATACAGTTTCTAAATGTTCAATCCTTGGAAACCGGAGCAGCCGGAGTTCGCTCGCACGCGAGCGGGAGGTTGAAACGCTCAATCCCCCCTGCAGATGGAACGGATTGAGATTAGCACTTGTTAAGCGATACGCACCTGGGCAAGGACTCCTCTAATTTCAAACCAGTTAGGTTCCAGAGGTCTGTTTGTAAGTCGATTTGATAGCAAGTCCAACTTTACTCTCTGTCGATTCCAAACACATATGGCGTGTACACTAAACACGGGGAATGGCTTTAAAAGTTGTATAATCTCATGCAGATGTAGATGCCACTGGTTTTTCACGGTCTGCAGATGTAGATGACACTGGTTCTTCACGTTCTGCAGATGTAGATGACACTGGTTCTTCACGTTCTGCAGCTGTAGATGCCACTGGTTCTTCAAGTTCTGCAGATGTAGATGTCACTGGTTCTTCGTGTTCTGTAGATGTAGATGCCACAGGTTCTTCACGTTCTGCAGATGTAGATGCCACTGGTTCTTAACGTTCTGTAGATGTAGATGCCACTGGTTCTTCACGTTCTGTAGATGTAGATGCCACTGGTTCTTCACGTTCTGTAGATGTAGATGACACTGGTTCTTCATGGTCTGCTGATGTACATGCCACTGATTCTTCACGGTCTGCAGATGTAGATGACACTGGTTCTTCGTGTTCTGTAGATGTAGATGCCACAGGTTCTTCACGTTCTGTAGATGTAGATGCCACTGGTTCTTCACTCTCTACAGATGTAGATGTCACTGGTTCTTCACGTTCTGTAGATGTAGATGCCACTGGTTCTTCACTCTCTACAGATGTAGATGCCACCACCGCCATTTATTGCGCGACGGTTGAACTTACGACTCTCAGTCCGAACAGGCAACTGGACACACGGACGGGTTTGTTCGTATCTCTGAAAGTTCGTAAGTCGAGCGTCCGTTAAGTCGAGAAGTCCCTGTACATTTGATTCTGATTCTTTGGAAACTTGGAACAGCCGGAGAGAGGGGGGGCGCGGTGGGGGGCGGGGGGCGGGAGGCGGGGGGGGGGAGGCGGTGCAACGTTCGATCCCCCGTGCAGGTGGAACGGATGGGGAATTGTCGCGCGACCGACCCCCGCCATCTCACCTCCGCTGCGTCCCCACGCAGGCTTTTGCCGAGATCCTGCTGCTGTGCGGCACGGCGGCGGCGACCGCCGTCAGCTGGTGCCCCATCAACACGACGGCGGCCATGCTCATGGTGCCCTACCTGGCGTGGCTGAGCTTCGCCGCTGCGCTCAACTACAGGGTGTGGCAGGACAACAAGGGGCCGGGGGAGGGGGAGAGCGATGGCGATAAGAAGGAAGGATGATGGCTCGCTGGAACGTTGGGAAAGCGAATTCCACTGCTTGTTGCTGTGCTTGGTTTTGTCGCCCCCAACCCCTGCGCCTTCCGATCCATCACCGTTGGCTATGTACTGTGGTGCCCAAGAAGTTCAGCATTCATACATGCACACTGCTACACACACTATACAATGCGCTACGCGATGCGATACACTACACTATACACTACACTATATACTACACACACTGCGCTTTACACTACACTATACACTACACACACTATACAATGCACTACGCGATGCGATACACTACACTATACACTACACACACTGCGCTTTACACTACACTATAAAATACACTACACTATTATACACTACACTATACACTACACACACTGTACAATACACAACACGATGCAATACACTACACTACACTATATACTACACACACACTATACAATGCACTACGCGATGCACTACACGAAACACTACACTATATACTACACACACTATACAATGCACTACGCGATGCAATACACTACACTATATACTACACACACTGCGCTTTACACTACACTATAAAATACACCACACTATAAAATACACTACACTATTATACACTACACTATATACTACACACACTATACAATACACAACACGATGCAATACACTACACTATACACTACACTATACACACTATACAATGGTTTGCTTCACGATCCTGACAAATCGCCCAGTGGTACTGGTTGATGTAATTACCAGCAAAACGTCGTACTACACCGTTTGGGCTGAAGTAAAATACCACACTATCCACTACACACTAATATACACTATACACCACTATACACTACACTAGACAACACACTATACACTACAGTACACTATACACTACACTAAAGACTACACACACTGCGCTATGCACTAGACTATAAATAACCACTACACTATGCACTATTATACACTGCACTATACACTACACCATATACTACCCACACTGTGCTATACGCTACACTATAAAATACACTACACTATACACCGCCATATACTACCTACACTATAAAATACACTACACTACTATAAACTCCACTATATACTACGCCACACAACGCTATACACTGCACACTACTAGACACCACCCCACTGTAACGCGACACCGCTGTGCTCGGCTGAAGAGTGTCTCAGTTTGAAAATCTTGAGAACTCGTTGTTCCTTGTTGCGTTCAGTTTCATGTCTCCCGCCTCCCTCCCCCCACCACCGCCACCGCCGCCTGCCTCCCGCGCCCTCCGATCGGCACGGCTGGCGGCTACGTACGGTGGTGACGAAGAAGTTCAGCACACGCACATGCACGCACATGCACACGCGCGCGCACACACACACACATGCACACACGCACACATGCACACGTACACGCACGCACGCACAAGTTGCGTTACTAATCACGCGGGTGCCTCCTCTCTCGGTCCTTCCACGTCATCGGCCACTTCGTCGTTTGGGCTTGATGGGGTTTGCTGTTATTGTTATTGTTGTTATTGTTGTTGTGGCCAGGCCGCTGCTGAAAAAGAGCCGGTGTCGCTTGGGCGTTGGGGCCTTACCTGGTGACATGTAGAAGAAGAACAAACATACCCCGAAAGTTTTAGTTTAGATTACGAGTGGGGCACTGGCCTAGGGAGAAGTGATAACTTCACAACGCCGTTCTCTTATTCACCCTCATCCCCCCCACCCCCCCTCTGAATGATCATCGCGGCTCGTATCGTAGAGCTGTCAAGCTCACCACTAGTACACTCACCACTAGTACACTCACCACTAGTACACTCGCCACTAGTACACTCACCACTAGTACACTCACCACTAGTACACTCACTACTACACTCACCACTAGTACACTCACCACTAGTACACTCACCACTAGTACACACCACTAGCTCACTCACCACTAGCTCACTCACCACTAGTACACTCACCACTAGTACACTCATCACTAGTACACTCACCACTACTACTACACTCACCACTACTACACTCACCACTAGTACACTCACCACTAGTACACTCACCACTAGCTCACTCACCACTACACTCACCACTAGTACACTCACCACTAGTACACTCACCACTAGTACACTCGCCACTAGTACACTCACCACTAGTACACTCGCCACTAGCACACTCGCCATTAGTACACTCACCACTAGTACACTCGCCACTAGTACACTCACCACTAGTACACTCACCACTAGTACACTCATCACTAGTACACTCACCACTAGCTCACTCATCACTAGTACACCCACCACTAGCACACTCATCACTAGTACACTCATCACTAGTACACTCACCACTAGTACACTCACCACTAGTACACTCACCACTAGTACACTCATCACTAGTACACTCACCACGAGTACACTCATCACTAGTACACTCACCACTACTACTACACTCACCACTACTAGTACACTCACCACTAGTACACTCACCACTAGTACACTCACCACTAGCTCACTCACCACTACACTCACCACTAGTACACTCATCACTAGTACACTCAACACTAGTACACTCACCACTAGTACACTCACCACTAGTACACTCACCACTAGTACACTCATCACTAGCACACTCACCACTAGTACACTCACTACTACACTCACCACTAGTACACTCACCACTACACTCATCACTAGTACACCCACCACTAGCTCACTCATCACTAGTACACTCACCACTAGTACACTCACTACTACACTCACCACTAGTACACTCACCACTAGTACACTCACCACTACACTCATCACTAGTACACTCACTACTACACTTACCAATACTACACTCACCACTAGTACACCCACCACTAGTACACCCACCACTAGTACACTCACCACTAGTACACTCACCACTAGTACACTCATCACTAGTACACTCACCACTACACTCATCACTAGTACACTCACTACTACACTTACCAATACTACACTCACCACTAGTACACACATCACTAGTACACACATCACTAGTACACCCACCACTAGTACACTCATCACTAGTACACTCATCACTAGTACAGTCATCACTACACTGCCTTGGACGTTCTGTGTAGGAAGAAGTCGAAACAAATCGCTTCATAGCTCATCGGATTCCCACTCCGCAGTCTAAAATAAAGGTTCCCATTAGGAAGCAAATTTATCAAAGAAAGCAAAACTATGTTGCACCGTTTCGATTGGCGTTCGACGTTACCTTTAAATAAACACTGGCATTCAACCTTCGTGTTGGGTGGAGGTTTTGTTTTGTTTCAGGCCGAGTCAACCTAGAGGTGGTCCTGACTGAGTTCTCATTTCAGGCCGAGTCAACCTAGAGGTGGTCCTGACTGAGTTCTCATTTCAGGCCGAGTCAACCTAGAGGTGGTCCTGACTGAGTTCTCATTTCAGGCCGAGTCAACCTAGAGGTGGTCCTGACAGAGTTCTCATTTCAGGCCGAGTCAACCTAGAGGAGCTCCTGACAAACTTCTCATAAAAAAATTAAAATTAATTTTTGACATTTTTAAAAGTAATAAAATTTATTTAAATTTTTACATTTTTATTTAATTTGTATTTTCTATCTACGTGACTTTACCGAAAGAACCAATAATATTTATTTTCCTTTTCAAAATATTACTGGGGGTGGAGTGGGCGGGGTGGGGGCTCACAGTACCTGGAGCCCAGGGGCCTACAAAATCTAAATCCGTCAATGTCATCACCAGCGAAACGTCGTACTAAAAAAAATCGTAAATGTTGTGGATTCACTCTTCAACACACCGGTAGGCTAAAGTATTGAACTCCTTTGTCAACGTGACACTTTTTTCTTTTTTAGCTGATCGGCCGTGTCGGGTGGTGGAGGGTTACGACTTACATTGATAAATAACGCGATCTAAACCCATCATGAATAATATTGGTCGCGAAAGGCTTAATCTGACGTCAATGATGTCGGCTGGGGCACGATGGTTCACCGCTGTGCGAGTTTAACGATCGGATTTGAAACTTGTTGGGGGTTGGTGGGTGGTGGGCCTGGAGCGAAGGGGTGGCCGACCGCAGTAACTCGTCAACCCTGACAGACCCAATGGAGACGAAGCCCTGGCGTTTCCCACCTTCCACGATCATCACTGCGGCTCACTGTCCACCGCCGCACGCTGCAAACTAGTCGCCCTGTTCATTGTTCAGTTTCAGTTTCGTGTATTTTGGTTATAGCGCCCCGTGAGCCATTCGGCTCTTGAATCGGGTGCAACCGTAACAACACAAAAAAACTAAAACACGAACAAGAAAAACATCTTAAAGTGACGACGCGCAAACAGGAAAAATCGGCAAAGTCTTCCAGCAAAAAGCACCGTATATCAACGCTGTGTGCAAAAATCCCAGTGGGATGCAAGTCAAACAACAACAACAACAACCATGAGAAAATTTAGATTAAAGTTATCAGTCGAACTCTGTACAACAACAAACAAACATGGCTAAACCAAAACAATGTTAACAGTGATCATCGCAACTGTGATTCAAATGTAACAATAAACTATATACAGTACATGTACGTTCATAACATGTACGTTCATAACGTACGTGGCAAGCATTGAGAACACGTGGTAAGCATTGAGAGCACGTGGTCAGCATTGAGAACACGTGGCACGCATTGAGAACACGTGGTAAGCATTTCGAACACGTGGCAAGCATTGAGAACACGTGGCAAGCATTGAGAACACGTGGTAAGGATTGCGAACACGTGGTAAGCATTGAGAACACGTGGTAAGCACTGAGAACACGTGGTAAGCATTGAGAACACGTGGTAAGCACTGAGAACACGTGGCAAGGCATTGCGAACACGTGGCAAGCATTGAGAACACGTGGTAAGGATTGCGAACACGTGGTAAGCATTGAGAACACGTGGCAAGCATTGAGACCACGTGGTAAGCATTGAGAACACGTGGTAAGGATTGCGAACACGTGGTAAGCATTGAGAGCACGTGGTAAGCATTGCGAACACGTGGTAAGCATTGAGAACACGTGGCAAGCATTGAGAACACGTGGTAAGCATTGAGAACACGTGGTAAGCATTGAGAACACGTGGCAAGCATTGTGAACACGTGGTAAACACCGGCAGCGCACGAACCCCACGGAAGCGGCAGACGCGGAATGTAAATAAGCAAAACCATCCATTCGTATTCTTTGGTTCTTTCGGTAAAGTTCAAATTATTTTAATTAATTATAAACAAAACAATTCTATCTACGTGACTTTAGAAAAATAATTATGATTATTCTTTAAAATTAGAATTACTTTTCCAAATAATGATTA